GTACTGAAGAGGCATGTATGTCCTCTGCTTAACGTAAGTGGTCTTTGAACTCGAACACTTCCTCTAAAGTGAACCAGAGCAAGAAAGTAGAGAAGATGAAGATTCATGAACATGAATTATTTCTTTTTGTAAGGTATCTGTACTGAAACTGTAAAGGATTCTTGGTGTTGGTATAATGAGGTCCTTAAAAGTAAGGATACGAAAATTGGGAATTTAGGAGTGATTAATGTAAACACTTCGGTTTTCGAAATGAGTGTGAGGTAGCAAACTATTTTGTTTTGTTATGGTTTTGAGTTAACTTATTCTTTCTATCGTTTAGTTAATCTGTCAGTTTTCAGTTTACACTTAAACGCTAACTCACCTCCTAGCTAATCGAATTAACTTTCAGATTCTACGAGTTATCAGACTGACACCAGTTTCCCATATCGGTTACGTACAGATATTAATGTTGATAAAGAGTATGTAAATAATGATTACATGAATTAATCTGTTGTTCTAACTACTTTATTAATTATTGCAGCTTAGCTTGTCTCTGAACTCTAGGATTTCCCGTAAAGTGAGTCGGAAGGTAGAGAAGTTGAAGATTGAAGAATATGAACGGATTTTCTTTGTAAGGTATATGTATTTAAACTATGCAGGATTCATGATGTCAGTATAACGAGTTCGTTAAAAGTAAGGATAGGAAAATTGGTAATTTAGGAGTGATTAATCACTTCATTTTTCGAAAGGGGCAAGGAGTGTGAGGTAGCAAGCTTTATTTTTTATTTCTTTGTGGTTTTGTTTTCAGTTCACTTTATTATTCTTTCTATTGTTTAGTTAATCTATGAAATTTTAGTTTACACTTAAACGCTAACTCACCTTCTAGCTAATTACGTCATTTAAAGTTTATAAGAGTTATGAGACTGACATCAGTTTCCCTATCTGTGACTTGTAAATAATAATGTCGGAGAAGAGTGAGATAATGTTAAAATGCATCTTTAATCTCTTGAATATAAACCGTGTCATGACTAGAATGTGAGGTAGCGTTTATATGTAAATTAAAAATAGACAGAATAACTAAACGATAGAAGAAATAATTCAATGGTAAACAAAAGCATAACAAAAAAATAATTTGCTATCTCACAATCCTTCCCTTTTCGGAAACCGAAGTGATTATATTAACTAATACTAAGCTTCCTCATTATACTAACACTGAATCCTTTATAGTTTCAGAAACCTTACAAGTAAAAATAATTCATATTCTTGAATCTTGAGCTTCATCTTTTCTTTCCTGCTGTAGTTCATCTTACAGAAAGTTTGAGTTGAGAATCAGCCAGTTTGAGAAGACAAAAGTCATTAGGGTGTTATGTCGAAGGATGAGATGTGGATACACCAGAATTAGTTGTTCATTTTGTTGGGCAAATCTCCAAGCCTTCTTGCAGTATTTAATTTTGTGAAAATGCCTGGGATAAGAATGGTGTCAAGGAATTAACTGGAGAAAAAAAATTATATCTTTTAAATTAAAAAAATCTAATCACAACCAGCGAGTTTGGACAGTCCAATTCAATATAAAATAAATTTGAGTAAAATTGTTTACTTCTGAAGATAAAGGATGTATTCATAATATGATTTAGAAGTTAACTACTTTTAGTTGTGACTTAACCAACGAATACAACTATTTCAAGACGTTATACAGAAGACAAGATACAATGTTGATAAGCTAGTAACGGTGTCTTCCAAACGTCGTTCTTTGACCCTTTATAAACTATCAAGTAATTCGTATAGAGCTTATGGATATGCAAGTGGTGAGGACTTTGTAATAACATGAAAGAATATACCACTAATATCAGGATTAATATTTCAATAAATAAAAGAAATTAGGAAAAGAAAACATATGCACAAAACATCTAATAACAGACACTTCTCCACTAACCCTCGTGAGCAGACTTATTGAAGCGGTTTTTATCTTCTTTAGTTTCCGGCTTTAGTTCAGTTTAACGGAAGTTCATGGGTTCTAAGACCAGCTAATCTGTGATAATTAACTAAACTACTCACATCAAGAAATCAGAATTCATGTGATAATCATGTGCACACTTTCTCAACATTAATATCTGTACGTCACCCCTATGGAAAATAGACTGCAGTCTGATAATTTATATAATGTTAAAAATTGATGTGGTTAAGAGTATAGGAGAAAATGGAATGATTTAGTCTTCAAATATATCTGTATTTCAGTTGTTAAGGATTGACTATGTCAGTATAATGAGGGCGTTAAAAGTAAGGATACTAAAATTGGGTATTTTAAATAGTGATTAATGTAATCCCTTTTTTCTAAAGGGGAAGGAGTGTTAGGTAGCAAGTTCAATTTATTTAGTTTTGGATTTGTTAACCGTTCATATATTATTCATTCTCTCGTTTCGTTAAGCTGTGAATATTTAGTTTTACATTTAAACGCTAACTCACGATCTAGTTATTCACATCAATTTTAAGTATCAGACTAACAACAGTTTTCCATAAAGGTGACTTGTAAATGTTAATATTCTTAAAGAGTATGTAAATTATCACATGATTTTAAATGTCTTGGTCTAACTAGTTAATTATTGCAGTTTAGCTTGTCTTTGAACTCGAAGAGGTCCCGTAACCTGAGCTGGAAGGTAGAGAAGGTGAAGATAGAACATGAACGAATTTTCTTTGTAAGGTATATGTACTTAAACTGGGCAGGATTCGTGGTGTCAGTATAACGAGGTCTTTAAAAGCAAGGATACAAAAATTGGGAACTTATGAACAGTGATTAATGTAATCACCTTTTTCGAAAGGGGGAGGAATATGAGGTAGCAAATCCTATTTTTATTTCGTTATGGTTTTGTTTTCAGTTCATTTATTATTCTTTCTATTATTTAGTTAACCTATACAATTTTAGTTTTACGTTTAAACGCTACCTCTCATTCTAATTAACTACGTATTTAAAGCTTCTAAAAGTTGTGAGACTGACACCAATTTCCTGTATCAGTAACTTTCAGATTTTAATGTTGCAAAAGAGTATGTAAATAATGTTACAACTTATTGGAAATATTGATACTATCACGAGAAATAGTAAGTGTTATTGTTTATTTAAAACATTATACACTGTAGTTTTGTAAATATTGTATTTTATAATTCCTTTTTATAGAAATATTAATCCTGATATTTATGGTATATTGTTCTTTCATGGTAGAACAAAGTTTGGCAATGTGAATACCCATAAACTACATCTAAACTATATAATTAGTTTTAAGGGGTTAAAAAAGGACTTCTTTTAAACAACTAACAAAATACCCAACATCACCTTCAACCATACAAGAACGAACAAAACTATTTACAGATTTTAAACAGACATTATCCAAAGTTTAAATGCATCGAAATATACAGCGAGAACCTTACAACAGTTAGTAACTTTCCGACACAATTAAAATTTAATTTTCTAACGCTGTTATTAAGAATATATTTATTGTCTTCTTTATTAAATTTTCTTATTCTAAGATATATTCTCGTATAGAATGGACTGTCTAAACTTATTTATGTTAATCAATTTTTTATATTAAAAAAAAAATCCATTTAATGGTAAAACAATTTTACTTATCTAAATTGAAAAATGTTTTCTCGAAAATTATTTCTGTACCAGAAAATGCTAATCGTTCTATATCGTTGCAGAGAAAAGTGGCGAAAAAAGGCTTGGAGAGCGCCTCCCCCCCCCTCTACATTAACAACTTATTTCGACTTGTCCACATCTCATCCTTCGAATTAACGAGTCATGTGCTCAACCTAGATGGTCTTAAAACTCGAGCACTGGGCTGGATTTATGGTGTCAGTATAATGAGATCATTAATACTAAGGGTACTGAAACTGGTAATTTATAAGCTGTGATTAATGTGATCACTTCGGTTTTCGAACGGGGAGGGAATACGAGGTAGCAAATTCTACTTTGATTTCGTTTTGGTTTTGTTTTCTGTTCATTTATTATTCTTTCTATTGTTTATTTTACCTGTAACTTTTTTTTTTACGTTTAAACGCTACTTCGCATTCTAATCAGTTACGTCATTTAAAGTTTCTAAAAGTTATGGGACTGACACCAGTTTCCATTACCGGTGACTTGCAGATACTAAAATTGTAAAATTTTTAATTTAATGTTTCAAATAAAGACTTTGTCATGAGTTTCAATGACTTTTCTCACGTGAGATAGCGATGAAGTGTTTTTGTTGTTATTCGATGTTTTATACACGTTTTTCTTCCGTTCCTTTTTCTATTTATTTATATAAGTATTAAACTGTTATTGATCGTATGTTTTCCTTTCGTGTTAGGAGAAAGTTCTAGCCACTGGCTCATTCATACACTGTATGCAGGCTATTTGATAGTTTATAAGAGGTCAAAAAAGGACTTTTTGGAAATAGAATATCCAACATTACCTGGAACCGTAGATAAACGAACAGAAATGTCTAGAAATGTTATACAGAAGGCAATATCCAACGTTGAAAAATATGGGAAGATACAGAGAGAAGCTTAAACCCGTTAGTCAGTTTCGAACAAAATTAAAAGTAGGTAACTCACTACTGTCGTTAAGAATACATCAAATATGTTCTGGAGTGACGCTTACTGAACTTTATCCTAAGACTGAATGAATAGTTGAAAGTTACGACTTGTGTTTCTCCATTTTTATATAAATTAGGTTATATCGTGTTAATAGGACAATTTTAAGTTTCTAAAATGAATTTTTCCAGATTTTTTTTTTTATTATTTTAGACACCAAAAGAAATGGTCATCGTCCTATGCCGTTCCAGAAAATTTAAATGGCACAAGAAGGCTTTTAGATTGCGGCTTCCCTTCCATCAAAATAAAGGACTTATTCTAGTGTGTCCACTTCTCATCCTTCGACGTAACGTGCTGACGAGTCACTTGTGTCCTCTGCCTAACGTAAGTGGTCTTTGAACTCGAACACTTCCTGTAAAGTGAACTAGAGCAGGAAAGGAGAGAAGATGAAGATTCACGAACATGAATAAATTCTTTTTGTAAGGTGTCTGTACTGAAACTGTAAAGGATTCTCGGTGTCGGTATAATGAGGCCGTTAAAAGTAAGAATACGAAAATTGGGAATTTAGGAGTGATTAATGTAATCACTTCGGTTTTTCGAAAGGAGTGTGAGGTAGCAAACTATTTTATTTTGTTATGGTTTTGTTTAGTTAACTTATTCTTTCTATCGTTTAGTTTATCTGTCAATTTTTAGTTTACACTTAAACGCTAACTCACTTCATAGCTAATCCCATTTAACTTTTAGATTTTAAGAGTTATCAGACTGACACCAGTTTCCCATATCGGTGACGTACAGATATTTAACATTGGTAAATAGTATGTAAATAATGATTGCATGAATTAATCTGTTGTTCTAACTAGTTACTTAATTATTGCAGCTCAGTTTTCTTTGGACTCGAGGATTTTCCGTAACCTGAGCCGGAAGGTAGACAATGTGAAGAAGGAAGAATATGAACGAATTTTCTTTGTAAGGTATATGTACTTAAACTGGGCAGGATTCATGATGTCAGTATAACGAGGTCTTTAAAAGTAAGGATACGCAAATTGGGAATTTAGTGATTAATGTAATCACTTTTTTCGAAAGAGCAAGGAATGTGAGGTAGCAAATTCTATTTTGATTTCGTTATGGTTTTGTTTTCAGTTCATTTATTATTCTTTCTATCGTTTAGTTAACCTGTGCAATTTGTTTTACGTTTAAACGCTACCTCGCATTCTATTTAATAACAACATTTTTAAGTTTGTAAAAGTTATGAGACTGACATCAGTTTTCCTTATCGGTGACTTTATTTATGTTGCAAAAGTGTAAATGTTAATATAATTTTTTTTATGTTTTAAATAAAACTGTCATGAGCTTCAATAACTTGGCGCACCAAGGATGGTGGGAAGTGTTTTTCGATATTTTAAGTTTCGTACATAGTTTTTTTTTCTTCTGTACGTTTTTCTAAATTGTTGTGGATAGAAATATTAATCCCGATATTGATGGTATATTCTTTTGTTAGTAGGAAACAATTTCAACTGTTTGGTAGTTTAAGGTATCAAAGAAGGACTTCTTGGAAACAACTAACAAAATACCCAGCTGTAGATGAACGAACAGAACTATCTAGAGATGTTTTATAGAAAGCAATATCCAACATTGAAAAGTAAGTCTCTTTTGTCTCAATTAAAAAAAATGGTTACCTTACTACTCCTGTTATTAAGAATAATATATTTTCTGCATTAAATACTTTCACTCAAACTTATTCTAATACGGTAAAACGTTAGAAATTACTATTACTTAAGAAGTTTTCGTATGAATTAAAAAGATTACCTCATGGTAATCAAAATATGGTTTTACATGTCTAAAATAAATATGTACACTTTCTCCATTGGACATTAATTTCGATACCTGAATAAATGCTGATCATTCTAGGCAGTTGCAGAAAATGAATGCGAACAGAAAGATTAGATATTTTTCCACAACCCAGAAGACTTT